ATCTGAATCTTACTATTTTTCCTCTTTTATCAACAATATACCTAGGTTCCTGCTTGGAAGTATTGGTGATGCACTGCTACTAGACACGGAAGCTTTTGAAGCGACAGATTCTTCTATTCCGTCCAAAACCATTTGAACCATTTGAACCACTTCGCTGTTTGAATAATTCTCAGGACCAGTTCGTTGCATTTGGCGGGTGGTACGCCTTTTGATCGGTCAGCTGCATTTTGAAAATCACCACAATGTTGACTCGCAGCCGTTTCGGGGTCTACGTAAGGAAAAGATGTTTTCCTAGAATAATCTCAGGCTAATGAAAATGCTGCCGTTGGTGTTAAGGATAATCTCGTCCAAAAAGTCAAAAGCACCGGTGTGTCAACGAGGTCACGCGCAGCACTAGGTGATATTAAGAATAAGGCTACTAGTATCTTGCCGAAAGAAGCTGAGAAACAAAAAGGCTTGAAGGATGAAAAATGTTTGGAACCAAGTGAGATTAGTAATCACGTTATTATTTCGCTTCAGAAAAAGAAAAACAACTCGACATGAGTATCGATGGTTCAACTCCTGACGTTACGACTCAAAAACAAACTGATCAACTCAAGGAGTTTCGAGCCAGCCGAAGACTCATTCGTTCAGAATGTTTAGCGTCTCAGTTGGCGGAGGAATTTTTGGAGGTTGACCGAAACGACTACGGAGATGCCGCTTCGGTTTACCCTTATCCTGAACGAATATTTAATTATCTTCAAGATAGAGAACTGTTAGTACAACCCCTAGTAGCTGACTACATGGCCACAAATTGTGAAATCACTCCCAGAATGCGTTACATCTTAATTAATTGGCTTGTCCAAGTACACTACAGTTATAAACTGCAACCTGAGACCCTCTATTTATGTGTTGGTATTTTGGACCGTTATTTATTGGTATGTTGTGTCTTTATAGTTATATGCGTATAGAAAAATTCAAAAAGCCTGACGAAGGATGGGTTTCAACTTATAGGCGTGGCATCATTATTCATTGCTGCCAAATTCGAAGAAATGTATCCACCCGATATAAGCGACTTTTCATCAATTACAAACAATACTTATTCTAAAAGTGACATAAGAAACACCGAACAAATTATATTGCAATCGACTGATTTCTATTTGTCGATTCCAACTCCATTAGTATTTTTGCGTCGCTTGTCAAAGGCTGTGGATGTAAGTTTGTTTTATTTGACCTTTTCTTCCAGGCTGATAGGACTATGCACAACCTGGCTAAATATTTCTTGGAACTTACGATACAAGAGTATGATCTTGCACATCTTCCAGGGAACCTCCGCTCTGTGATTGCGTTGTGTCTGTCTCGAGCGCTGTGTCTAGGTACTTCAGAACTTGAAAGGGCTTGGTGTGACAAACTGTCTTATCTTAGCGGTTATAAGTTAGATGATATACGTGATCATCTGCAGATTCTCGCTCGGGCTGCTTATCGTCAAAATTCTCCTTCGAAATATAGAGTATGTTTTACTTTACTAATCTATAATATTCGCAGGCAATATTTAACAAGTATCGTGTGGACGATTTCTATGGACGTGTAGCATCTTTGCCTCAACTTCGCTCATATCTAATGGAAACCCTAGCAGATCTCAAATTCGACAGTGATGGAGAGGCAAATCCAGTTTAGTGCTGTTGAGATAAACTTCATGGTAATAGAAATTCAGTGATGTCGTCATTTAATTGTCTAGCTGTCTCGGTCTATTTATTTTCCCGATTATTTATTTTCTATCTCCTATCGAGATCCTTGATTATCTCATTGGAATAAGTGTATATTTTACTATGATCGTCCTCGATTTTAGTGTATAATCTTATAATACACACTTTTATCAACCCATATCTTCCATTTATCATTTTGTATAACCGGTAATAATTATTTTCACACTAACGTCGAGTACATTAACTTTTAAACTTGCTGTTTCTACGTTAAAAGGAACACTAGATATTCCAAGATGTTACTAATTTTCTATATTCCGCATAATTTTGAATGTTAGGGATGATTCAGTACCTCATGCCATTTGACCCAATATTAATGCTTACGTCATGGTATGTTAGGAACTTATAAAACTGGTGTCATACTACATATCTTGTTCCGTTACAGGTACCGATAGTTCGTCAGCTTGCGTAGACAGTCGCAAAAACATGACCACTAGGAGTATCGCTAGTTTAAAAACTAGTCGGTCATGAAAAAGTCTCAAGCTTCTGGCCTTAGCTTCATTGACATGTTAAGCAATTCCTAGTACGTTATCAGAAAGCGCAGTGGACAGGTCTTGTGTTTGCGCGACATCTGCCCTGGGTCCTGCATGAGTAGTACCTACGGGTTTATTTGTCACTAGTTTCATGTACTCCAGTTGTGCGGATATACGCATTTATAATGCCCCTACAGATGTTTCATAGAAATATCCCTGTTAGCTAATCTTTTTAGCAACTGACTGGTCTGTATTTTGCTATGTATTGTCTGGATCTGCTCATTTTAGTTGTTATGCAAGGAATTAACGTAGGGATACAGAACTGAGTTGGGTTAGAGTTAAAACCTCGTGCAGCTGTAAGGGCTTGGAAAACCGAGTAGTAGACGTCAATTAAGTATACTTTGGGGATCAAGTGGGATAGTATCGTACATAATATTTGATCATAAGCCACAGCTTAATATCTTGTTAATCTATTTGTATGACCCTGATAACATTACAGCATATCCAAACTGCTGGGTTCTTTATTAAGTGTAATCCCACAGGCGCAACGGCCAAAATGATCGCTCAACTTCGTCCAAATCACTTTAATGTGAACGTCTTTTGTGTCTGTATTAGTTCGAGTGTTACCAACAAATTAGGGCACTTGTGATCCTTTTTTAGCAGGTGTTTATCAAAGGTAGAGCTAAGAATCAATTAGACTTTCTACTCATTTTCTTCTAAAGCCCTAGAGATCGTTCAGCAGGTTCAAGTAAGGTTGAATTGGGTACTAAGGGAACCTTGTTATATGACCGGTATAATGAAACAAAGAATATTCCGATGTTTAAAACACGGTACCGGAGGTACATCTTCAGTCATTTACTATCTTGATAAGAATGCGGTTAATCGATGCGACTGACTAATAGTTTCCTCAAACTGAGGGTTTGTTATTATAGTGGGACCGACAGATGTATTCCTCCTACATGGTATTTTAGGTAGGTTAGTGAACCGTTAGTTTAAACATCAGTAAACTTCGTTTTAATTTAGATTGTAACTAAATTAAAACATGAAACCAACCAACTCGGATGCATTCAGTAAACGGTAATTACCACTACCTCCTTTTAAACTTATAAATGCAAAGTACTCATCTAACCAACTCGTGCTGTTTCCGTTTAGACTACCAATTACTACTTATTCCTCAAAATGTTTGTTTATAAAACTTAATTGTTAAGTTCATAGTCATGCGTCTTCACCTTATCAATGAGCGAGAATTATTGATACGTTTTTAGGCGCATCAACTCTTCTGTTTATCGCATTCTGATTTTCGTACAAGTTTCTTGGGTAAACAAGCTATATCATTACCATAACAAGACTGTTTCACAAACTAGTTGTTTGTCACTAGTGATGATTCATTTCGTAAATAACTTGCCAGTACTGTTGAGTATACTTATAATCTACATCAACAGGAAGACCCAAAAAGTCGTCAAGCTGACAACATATAGTAATAGAAACTAATCTGGATGTAGTTTCCTTTCTCAAAATACTGTTGCTTGAATAAAATTATTAGTTTCAAGGACTACCAATCCACTTATCAGGAATAACAAGTGACATGATAAACAATTATTCTAAACGACTATTAAAGAATAAGGTTAGGAATTGAAGTGTCGTACCCCCCTTTATAAAGAAATCTCTTTAAGACGGTTTGCTTTCAAGGAATGAAGCCGAAAACATCTATTTCCGATAGTTAGGTTACAACGATCCACTTCGTATTTTGCATGTTAATCTAACATTTCGATAGAGTTCACATCTTGTTTTCGGAGGAATTATACTTTGTAGGATAAATTACGTTTCAAATAAATATACGCCTGCTTTCAAAAAATAATATTTCTATCAATTGAAATAATACCTTTTGTATACATAGAAGGGATCTTGATATTAGTGTTCTAATTACATTTCCAACTGACTTCATCCTTTGTTTCCGTACCCTACTTATTAAAACTTCTGTGATTCTCAACCTGCTTCATCACTAATATCCTGGAAGTCTTATCAGCCTTGGTTGGGGGATGATGTGAGATACCTGGTTGCCAACCAAAGAACGAGTTTAACAAGCAGCCCTTAGCTCTTTTTAACTCTAAGACCATGAAATATAGCCTTTAAAAATGGATGATATTAGTAGACTTTCGTTATTTGGTCGTAGAAGCTCTCGAAGTATTGGTCTAGTATGTTGAACTGCCAAGTGAACAAAGTCGAGGTTGAACACAGGGTAATAGGTAGAGAACCCGGACCGATCAGTTAAATTGTACTTCATCAACTACAGCAGTTAGGATATGTATTGCGTATATCCAATAACCGCCCACGTCCACGCACAATGACAGCTGATATAAGAGTACATTGTAAGAAAGCATCGCGAGGCAAAACCAAAACACTAATTCATGAAGTTATTGACTGTTTTTACTTCTAATACCCTGGTATTTTCTCGATATTTCACTATGCTGATATAGCACAGCGGCTCGAACTGATACATATATGTGCAATGGCTCTATGCTACGTATAACTGAATAACTAAAAATAACTTTACTATCATTCGCATTATCGAGTGTTCCGGAATCTTCGTTCTGCTGCTTTAAACCAGTCTTTCCAATTGGATTGGCCAACGTCAACATCTTTTTCTCACCTTACCAAACTAGGTCACTTCACCTGTTAATTCCAACAGAAAACAAATATATACCCTAATTAAGACATTGACGAAAACTTATTTTTTCATAATAATCCCTTTGATTTTTCTTCACTAGTTCAGTAACGACATTATTTGAGAATAACGCTTTGATTTGTCAAAGAAACTCATGAATACATTATTGGAAATCAAATATTCGCAATAAATACAGATATTCCACATTGCTTTATAAGATTAACAGTGATAACAGTAAAGGGTACAACAAACGTTTCAGAACATGCCACTCATTTTACGTCATTAAACGTTACAAGTAACAAGAAAGACGGACTCAATCAAAATTATATATCATTCAACGTAAGTCTTAATGATCAACACGTAAGTAATGATTTCGATTGCACGCGGTAAATACATAAAACATTAGCTAATAAATCACTTAGAGAATTGCAAAACACGATTTTGATTGGAAAACTATCACATATGTTTAAGTATGAAATTAGTGTATTGGAAGATATTAACTTACAATCGAACTAATAAATCTGAGGGAGGAACTCGAATAATTAAATGTTTACAAAGTTTTCACAATTTTAACACTGACAATTATATATGAAAAAACATGAAGGTGTTGGAGAAGACTGATTGGAGAATCGATTGAACAACTTTGAAGTCAAATCCCATGATGATTATAAACGAGGTACACAATATACAGGTCGTAAATTTAAAGAAATTAATGAGAAACCGTGTCAAAACTTAGCACGACGCTTGCGTCCTGTATATTTAGAGTCACGAGCAACTTCTTTCATTTGATCCCTGGCACGTTGCTTTTTTTGTTTTATCCAGGCTACACTGTGCTTTGGCAATTTCTTCATCTGTCTACATTCTCTCAAGGTCTCTAATTTGTTCCGATTATGATTTGACATCTCATTATTTTCTGTAAGTGGCTGCGGGATACGGCGAGTGCTGCAAACATCCAATACCAAAAAGTACCTAAAAATGAATGACTGGTCAATTTGTGTCAAAAACAGAATGAACTTCAATAAAATAATTATGTACGCTAAAACCGACACATACTTCGGGGTAACTTGTTGCTTTTGTAAAGAACATTAGATCCCTAATAATAATTTAGGTATTCACCTAAAATACAGAACTCAAATTTATGGTTTTGTGTTGAAGAAAAATTTTAGGAAAGCAGTTATTTGGTGAAACTAGATGATACGGAAGAACCGAAATGTCTTAGCTGTAAGTTGTGTCGCAAAACAAAAGTTGAAACAAGTGGAAAACAATGCAAAGGCAAATGTAGTCAAGTTGATATTGTGTCTAGAGGACTCCGCTTACAAGCGGAGTCACACATCGGGGCAGTTGGTGGTTGGGCATACGTAACACGTGTCTCAGCCATCTCAACAGATGAAGTTTCACTACTTCATCAATTGATTTGCCATCTTTACCTGGTACCCGTTTCCTAACAACTACATTACTTACTCGGTGGTCCCATGATATACGAGTAATGCTTCGAAGACACCTATGATCGAATACCAGTAACCTACGAGTATCCTCTACTCTTACCGACCATGTTTCACTACCATAAAGTAGGACAGAACGAACTGCTATGCAGTAAACCCGTCCTTTGGTCGGTAGACGGATATCTCGCCTACATCATAAATGACGCAAGTTGGTAAAAGCTAGTCGAGCCTTCTGTATCCGTGCTGAGATTTCGTCACACACCAGACCAAAAGGGATGATGAGACTCCCAATATAAGTGGAGCCGCCGACACGCTCAACCACTATATATTGAGATTTAGATGGTGGTTGGAGGTAGTCAACACCAATAAGGACTAGACAAGCATGACATTGATCACCACCCAGTGATCAATCAATTGTGACGCTCAACCACTTCACTCCCTATCATTAGTTTGGGTGTCGATACAACCCAATCCTGAAACAACATTTTGCATTTCGAGGTGGAGAATCGCATCCCGAACATGCTTGCATTCTTCTTATAGTGGTCAGAAGACTCTGCATTTTGTCAGCGTCTTCACCAAATAGAACTATGTCATCGGCATATTTTAAGTCAAAAAAGTGAATCCCGTGTTAGAAATTCAACCCCTGGAAAGTCAGATAAGGAGAGTGTCATTTCTAAAAGCACGTCTACGATAAAATTAAAAAGTGTGGCGTATGTATGTTTGGTGCCCCCTTGTACCAATATTTATGTGTTCAAATAAAAAATTAAATTAAAAAAGAGTTAAACAAGAATGGAGAGAGTGGACAGCCCTGACGAACACCACGTGAGGTAATCAATTCTGATGACAGTTCGCCATAAGCTCGCACTCTACCAGTTGTGTTCCAGTAGAGAGCCTGTACAAGGTTGATGTACTTCTTTGGTACCCCTCTCAGTGACAAACACTGCCATAGAACCTTACGATCAGAGTCGAATGCCGCCTTAAGGTCAAGAAATACTACAATTGTGAAATGCCTGAATGTGTATCTATATTCTAGGACCTGACGTAGTATGAATATCTGGTCTATACAACAATGTCCAGTCAAAAACCAGTCTGGTTTTCTCTAATCTGCTCTTCACGAGCTTTAGTTAGGCGTCGAAGTATTATTGAAGCTAATTTTTTAGATACGATACTAGTCAAACCGATTCCTCCGTGATTGCCACACAGGACTTTTGTCCTTTGTTATAGACAGGTACAATCAGTGACTGACAACAGTCAGATGGAATTACGTCCAGTTCCCAGATTCTACCTAAAACCTCAGTCAATCTCACTGCTAATACTGGACCTCTATCAATAAAAATCTCAGGGGTAAACCTGTTAGAGCCTGCTGCTTTCCTATGCTTCAGATTTCCTATAGCTTTTTCAACTTCGTAAAGAGCTGGAGGACTTACATTAACTTGCCATTCAGGTCGACTGGAGATCTTGGGAAACCGAAGTGTGGCTGAAGGCCCACTACTTGCCTCGGTTTGAATAGCCAGATATTACTAACAACCTTAACAAAAAAGTGTACCTAGGACTTGAGTACATGAAACTTTACTTCCCCAGCATGCTTTTATTGTGATGGTGCTGAGTGATTACCACTTTCTAAAGTGCAATTAGAGAATTTACCTATGGATAGTGTAACGAAATACTGATTTATGTTCCCAGTTTTAAACCACACACGCTTTACAACAATTAGTGATAGTTTTTTAAAGTAGTTTAAATTGGTTTAAATTTGGACCCGGAGTTTTCATACTAACATATGAATTGAAGTACTAGTATTCCATAGCAATTAGAAAGATACTTAGCCTGGATATTACAGATGGATAAGGGTCGAAAAAGAAATGCTAATGTACCAGAAGTACACTATTAAACGCTAAACTATGGTTAAGTATATACCCAATACATATCTTAAACTTTAAATATAGAGAATTACTATCACATTATGGACAAACTATATTTTAACAGAATAATTCTACGAAAGGCGATTGAGTTCAGAAAAGTATTTTACTTTTTGTCAACACTCTTAAAGATGAAAAACGTTATCCCTGAATGCGATGCCTGACTTAGAAATTTCCAATATAAACTTTAGCTACGGCCTAACAGTGTAACATCATCTGAATCAATCAAACTTACTTTTTCGCTCGCGTACTGTTAGGGTAATCAATTACAAGACCGCCTGTGAATCCAGCTCTCGTAGCTTCATTCTGCAATAGATCTGCTTGAACTATGGATTCCGGATAAAACTGTAAAACTGCTCGTGCACCACGAGTAAGACTGCTGTACAGCGAGACGAAAAATCTTCTTAGACGTGCGATAGGATTTTGAGAGGATCTGTCCGCATTGCATAGCCACTGTATTGCTGAAATGCTAATGGCCCCATCAAATGATCCACCACGAAACGGCAATCCACAACCAAGGTCACCAAGTACTAAACTACCTTCGACTTCTCTGTCTAATGCAACCTCAAGCATATCTTTACTTATGTCAACGCCAACCCAATGATGACCATTCTCAGTAATAGTTTCACCACTTAAACCGGAGCCGCATCTGAATTAATAAATGAGAAAAACCTGTTGTTTTCTACCCAATATCTAAAACCATGCATGCTTCATCTTCAGGCAACGCAAGTAATTCTAAAGCCCGTTCTGTGATACGCGTTTGAATATCAATGATATGAGAACTACAAAAAAAAGAGAAATACGAAACTCACTTTGAACTGTATTTTTTGGCCTCATCACTGTTATAGTACTAGAAATAAGGGAGAATACTACGATAGTTTACCAGTTCGGGAGGAAGTGAGTGCTCAGGACGCTTGTGAGACATTGATTTAATCTGTGAAAAGATTAGGTTAAAAAATAATTAGACCGTCATATACACATACGCTAAGAAAAACTAGCAAAATGAGGTAACTAGATGTAATTCATCATTTCTTAACAGTTAACTAAAAATACTATAGTGTTTCCTGAAGGGCCACTATCAAAGGGAGTAAGACAATACTGCAAAACTTGTTTTTATTAAGTTGTTATTGAGATAGTTTACGCGAACGAATATTTCCCATGAATATGTCTAGCAATCAAACGCGTGTTACAAACTATAAGCACTGTCCCAACTTGATTCGTACTTCTCAAACTTTTGCTGTGTCCATGCGCAAGAGAAGTAGTTTTTGTGCAAAGCTTTTAGTAGACAATTCATCATTTTGGGTTCCGATCGAATTATTAGCTTACTGAATTTTTGCTTCAACTTACTATTTGGTATTTATGGTGCACAATAGGATGAGAATTTTATTAAATACAGCCAATCTGCCAGTCTTTTTTAAAGGTTGATTACCATTTTTACTTCATTGTTCGTCGACTTTGTTTACAACTATTTATTCATCATGGTCACTAAATATATCTGTAAGCGAACTAGTTGCCGATCTGCTGTCAACTGAAGCATCCAATTTGGCAAATATAAGGAGTGGTTTCGTGAAGCATATAAAAACCTTGTGGTGGCTGCTTTCAATACAGTCTAATTCCAAGTGAGTTTATGGCACCTATAACAAATGCTCAGGATTTTAAAGTGGCTGATGACGGAAGAAGAGTATAATAAAAGGACAAAATGATACAGGAATATAAAACAAGTGAGGGTGAATCATAATGAGAGGAGCAGCTCAACTAGGAATAATATAACTAGAAATTACCTGTCACATAATTTCCTTTAACTTCTATCTTGAAAGAAAAGGAAAACTATAACAGGACTCAATGTATATAATACCGAGCCAAAGTTAATAAAATCTTACCTACCGTGTAACAATAGCTCTAGAATCCCATTAACGGAGTTGTGGAGGACAGTTAGACGTTGACACGTAACGATTAAATACCACAGCACAATGCCATAAACTGTCTTTTATCACTACTTGCTTCGGTATGGTTAACCGGGCAGTATCCCAGACCATATGCAATTTTAATGACTAAGACTGAGAGGAACCTCTTTAAACTGGGATAATTTCTGGTGTCATTCCAATCGTCAGAGTTGTGGGAAAACCTGTCCACTTTCTGAAAACCTTGGGGAAGGAACAATAAAAAATTTCGGGGTTATCCCCAAAGTCTTATGAAAATCCGTAGTTCTGCCCAAAGTTAGAGTAATTCACGGAAAATTTTGGGGTAATTTTGTAAATTTTGCTATTTTAACACAAACTTAATATACTTTGATGATGAGTAACTTCAGACGGCGTGTGCTAAGATTTAGGTTTGCTTAAGTTGGTATCAAATACCGCTCTAGGGTTGTTGAAAGTTTAAAAAACAGGCAAGCACACGCATACAAATCGGGGTGGCGTTTATCGGTTAAGATAAAAAGGAATGAGAGGTAGAATAACTTACTCAGTCGTTTACCTAATAAATGATACAGGTAAGAGTGACCTTGGGAATTACACGCGAGGCTTTACACCCGAACCAGTCTCTGTTGGACTGAATTAATCAAACAACCATACCGTATTTTAAGTCTTGTGATTGTGGTATATAATGTTTATTCACTCTTAATTACGGTATTTCTATTGATTATGTAGAGGTGTGAACATTCAACATAGCTTCAGATCACCACCTGGTTGTGGTCAAGATGAGAAGGAAGTTAAAGAAACACTGGGCAGTGGGGAATAGCAGTGAAAAGTTCAATACAACCTACCTACGAGGTACTAACAACTTCAACGAATTCAAGATAACTCTGAACGGTCACATACCCCGCGAAGAAGCACTTCACGTAAGCCATCTGTCTCTAGACCACGAGAGACAGATAACCCCGATTGGTGCTGGTACCATAACCGGTATGGAAAGCCATCCAGAAATTGCAGAAAACCCTGCAATTTTCCGAACTCAAAATCGACTGACACGAGAAACAATTCGGGAAGCTTCCCAGGTGGCACACGTTAACGGCAACTGTATCTGGCAAACATAATTGTCTGTTATACGTCACAGATGTGCTAACGTAAGTCCGCTAGCTCGTCGATACTGACGCAGGAGTTAGCGTTCTTTCAGCGAATTTTAACGACCGGCTTCACAAATCTTTTGTCAACTTACAGGCGGCAAAGGGAAAGCCAATCGCCACATATAGTAAAAGGTACGTTTACCTTAACGTAGGTTTACGTAAACCCATTCACTGGAATTTCGTTGTTGTATATGTTTCTATGCCAATCATTGGTATAGACCTCCTACAACACCACAATCTACTCATAGATACACGCAAACGGAGGCTAGTAGACGGAAACACTAATTTATCTGTTTGCGTAACTTCTTTTTCCAGCTGCAGATTATCTCCTGCCATAGTTAGGCTTACGATAGACCCATTCTATCAATCATTACTCGATAAGTATTCTGGAATATACCAACTTCGACCGAAATTACCGCGTGTGACCAGCAATGTTACACACCACATCACGACTACAGGACCGGCTGCATTCTCGAAAAAGCGTCGACTGGCTCCCGAAAAGCTGATGTTGGCCAAAAACGAATACGATCACACGATAGAGTTAGGAATCATTCGACGGTAAAACAGCCCATTGTAACGCTTCAGGGGTGTCGTCAACTGATAGAGGTTGCTGAGCCTTTAGAGGTCAAACCGTAGTAAAGTGATTTGTGCGTCATTTCGACAATTTGTAAAGTTTTACAGAAGCGGTCAAATCAAGACACTTTTGGATTTGAATTGCGTACAGCCACACTGTGTCTGATAACGTCAATCTGTAGTGGTACTGAGCACTAACAACACAATCAACAAAGCTGAACACGAGATGACTGGAAAAATAGAATTTTAACATGTAACACTAAGCGGTCAATAATGGTAGACACGGTGACATTCACTCGAAATTGAATTCATTGAATGGCGTGACTTGGTCTTGCAGGTGTGGTCATTTTCGCATGTTGTCTTATGGCTTTTATTTATATTAAATGTAATTTTCTAACTCCAGCCTAAATGTGTTCTCCATCATATATTGGTGATTGTTACGATACGATGAGTCAGTGTGAAGTATGATGTGACTTCCACGTAAGACCTTATAGATTGAGCAGTTACATCCTGACAAATCTACAGTTTGAGGATTAGGTCTATTAAAGCAGTACTAATAACGAAGTACGTCGTAATTCTACACATCCTTCAAGTAACGAAAACGATGAAATCTTGATGATGCATGATATAGGACGAATCTTTAATGATATTATGTTATTGCGACGACTTACAATTTGAGACCTGTTTGAAAGACATACATAAGGTAATATTTTTGCACTTTACGCATACTAAGTATGTTATGTCAGTATGCAAAAGAACCGTGACGACATCACTCTAGTGCTTTTTCGTCAGGTGTGTCAGTACTTATGGACATAAACACATGTGTTTACGAGATGCAGTTCGTCAGAATCAGATGCTTGTCTTTAGGATGAAGATGATGATACCCATGATCATTATCCCGAATCGCATACAACTTCAAACTCACCACCACAACCTAGACAAAGAAGAAGATATCGGTTATCTCCTTATGCCTTATTTCGAGTGATTTTATCCTTCGCCTCGAAATATTGTCATTGTCAATCTGGATTTTGGGTCCGTGCAGTAAATGGTGAGGTAAAAGTCACCTCTATTAAAACTGTACACGACCATCCTTTCACAGAAGGATATATATCTGTAGATCCTTCAAGACGAGAGTTGACATCAAGTGAACGCTTATATTTAAGACCGTTTCTATTGAGTGATATGCCAACTCGTAGCTTACGGCTTCTAGTTTCTTGGAAGTTCCATTAACAGCTTAACAAGGACGATATCACCAAAATGAGATCATAGTTGTACCCATGATGTCAAACCCACACTGTAATTAATTGAGTTTAGACACTAGAAATATCAAAAACATTTTACAGAGCGTTCAGGCAAACACTGAAATAAGGGTATTCAATGAAAATGGGAACATGTCTATGGTTTGCTTTAGTCGTAGGGAGCAAATAGTTAGTTGTCACGCGTTGCTATAGGTAGTATGTATTGATTCGACTTACCAGACCACAAAACTTGGGTAACGAATAGCAAAAATTTACCTCAAAGTTTTTCACTATTCCAGCTAGCAGCTACTGATAGACAAGGGTACACTAAGGCAAGAGCACACTGTTATGTATGTTCTTTGCAGCCAAAAACGACGCGAAGATGTAATAAGACTACTGGAGTGCTTCAAAGACATAATGTGATTTACTTATTATACGCACACTTTCGTTATGGATTCGGCAGCGACCGCAATTTTCGCGGAACAGTCTATGCACAGTCATATCAACATAATACTGTGTTCGTTTCATGTCTTTAGAGCATTTTTCAGGAAGGTAAATGTTAACTGTACACTTGAAAAAATATCTCAGGAGGGGTGATTTTCTTCTATTATCGTTCCAGAAAATCTGGAGTGAAACAGACACTGAATTGCGTTTGTGTCCATATGACGTTATAAAGAATCTTTAAAGTTTTCTAAAACTTGAGGTAATAAGTACGGTTAAATGCATCATTTATTCCAGGTTCCAATGTCATTCAAAACTCTCCTAAATGAGTTTACAGCTTTCGCAACTAAAATTGTAGCTGTAAATGATAAACATGTAAGGAAAATGAGACACGAATTGATAGCAGGAGCATTTTTCGTGTCTTTAGGTAACCCTCGTGCTATTGATAGAAGAAACCAGAGAAGTAGTAAATAGGACTTTATTTCGATCTTCGCGCAGTCACAGTGGAGCGTGGGATTATTTGTTCAGACAAACAAAGCCTCTCAATATTCAATATAAGATAATAGGAAATATAACGCCTATACAAAGTAAGGAAGTGAATGAATACTTGAACAATACTGTTTTGGCATATGCTTGGTTGTTTGGGGTCGACTCTTAACCGACCAAACTAAGCTGTTACATTAGCTTCCCCCTAGAATCGACTTCCATAGGAACGTCGGTTCGATTAACCTATCTATCGAAACCACCTTAGTTCTATTTCTCATCCCAAGGGAAAATTACCAACTCGCTCACTATTTGACTTACAATCAGTGATGACTAACGCTGTCAACGATAATCCATGGATGTCTCTTCATTTACTAGCTTGTCATCTTATTTTGTTTCATGTGATCTCTTCTACAACTATCGCTGACGGTTTGCTGCGTGCTTTCAAGAGAAAGGGTGTGAGAATGTGGAACAAGAATATCTGAGGAAGTGCCGCGAGCGGGCTACCCAACACCATGTTGGTGAGGTACGATCTTTCCATGCTCAGACCGGCTATCAGGTGTTTACTCACCTGCCTCTTGAGTCGCCCTCAAGTAAAAAGTAAAGGTAATGGTGAAAACCAACCAAACCTGAAGAACTGCTCCACTGCCTGCATAAAAATAATAAGATACAAAATGGAAATACATAAATATAATTGATAATTGTTCGGTTCCACGTAAGTGATTGGCCTCCAGAAAGGATTGGTATTCTGGAAGAAAATAGACAAAGTGTAGCCAACTTGTGTACGAAAAAGTATGAAAACAAAAAAATACTTTTTTATAATGCATATATGTAAAAGTGTAAACTTGCTAGAAGTTGGACTCATTGTCAAACCCGATCAAATGTATGACCTTGGGCCTATGACGACCGCCTTTTATAACCAGGTACGTAACCAAGGCTGCATAATTGTACTCCACAAAACGGAAAAGAATATACGGTTAAGGAGGAAAAAAATGTGTAGATTATGAGGATCAAGTACAGTTGTGTCAAATACTCTTTTCTGGTTTGATCTAAGTATGTATGATATATTGAAGCAATATTTCGTCAATTCATCCAAGTAACGAATTTGTCTGCACCTTAGAAGTGTGTAAGTCCTATTACTTATTAGTCGGTAAAAGGAAAAATTGCAGTCCTCCGTGGTTTGATGTGGTCTAATGGCTAGGCACACGGTCCAGCATTCAGGAGGGCAGAGGTTCGAGTGCGTGGGGCCTGCGTTTTTGTTCACCAAAACCCCCTTCAATACGATGTTTGTTGGCCATAAGTTGCTCAGATATGAAAGATAACAGGAGGACGGATTGATGTGTCAAAGTGCCATATTGGAACAATACAAGTTCTTTGTTTGTATTAATAATAATACTATAGAAAAAAC